TAGACAGCCAGCCCATGCCAGCCCTTAAAGTTACCTGAGTGGCCACAAGTGAAAGGGCACAGGCAAGTCCAGACAAACGGAGAATACTGAAGAGAGTAATGAATGGGCGTAGGCTGGGCCACAACCCATCAGAATCTTCAAGACCTTTCAATGGTTTTTGGGGTGGTAAATAAATAAATCAAGACTGTTTCTTCACAGTGTGGCCCGAAGATGGGGTCATTCGGTATACTTTACTTGGAGGACTGGCCCTTGTTTCATAAATTTTCTGATAACTTATCTTAATCCGTTCAGGCTGACAAATGAAAGTACAATAGACTGTGTGACTCACACACGAGAGAAATCTGATTCTCATTGTCCTGAGAACTGAGAATGTTAAGGTCAAGGCAGCAGTGTGTTGGTGTCTGAGGAGGGCCTGGATCATGGCCCCATCAAGGCGTGTAGTAGTTTGAAAGAAAATGGCCCCCAAAGGAAGTGGCACTAATGGGAGGTTCGGCCTTGTTTTAGGAAGTGTGTCACTGTGGAGGCAGGCTTTGAGGTCTCATATATGCTCAAACCAAGCCCAGTGAGACAGTTCACTTCATGTTTTCTGCAAGATGTAGAACTCTCGCTCCTTCTCCAGGACCATGTCTGCCTACATGCCACCATGTCCCACCATGACAATAATGGACCAATCGTCTAAAACTGTAATCGAGCCACCCCAATTAAACGTTTACCTTTATAAGACACACATGGTCATGGTGTCTCTTCAAAGCAATAGTAGCCCTGACTGAGATAAGGTGGCATGTCACTATTATCTCATTGCTTAGGAGACTGAGGCCAGAAGGATCACAAGTTTGACTTGGCTACAGAGAGAATTTCTTATTTTCCCTCTGTGTTCTCTTGTGGCAGCCCGGTAAGAGCTCTGGGTTTACTAATAAGGACACTAACCTCAGTCCTCACAGCTCAATGACCTCCGAAGGCCCCCAGCCCTCAATACCATCATGTTGGGGGTCAAAATATCAACAGATGAGTTTTGAAGGGACAAAAATTTTAATCTATACCATTTTATACCTTCCCCACCTCCAGTTTATGAATTCTAGTATGCAAAATGCATCTAATATGCCCCAATATCACTAAGAAGTTTTGCTCTAATGTCAGCTTTAAAGCACCATCTAAATAACATGAGGGTGAGTCAAGATACACATCACATCCAGACAGAGTCCTTGCCATTTGTGAAGCCACCAAGGTACTTTATTTCCAAACTATAATGATGGGGAGTATGAGATAGACCTTTCCATTCCAATAAGAGAAGAAATGGGAACAAGTCAGAGTACAATAGGGCAAAGTTCAAGCTTTAATTAGAATAATTTTCTGTCTTGACACTGTACCCATTAGACCTGGACTGAGGCAATAGACCCACTCACTGAGGCAGTGAACCTACCTCCTCAGCTCGTTGGCCTCTCTGTGCTGTTGTTTTCCATGCCCATTTGGGTGGCAGCATCAAACAGCTCAGTGAACACCCTGGCTCTGCCACATCTTTGCAGCTTCCCCAGGCTGGACCACTACTCTGCAACTGTGTCATGAAGGCTTGTCCCAGTAGCTCCTCTGGTTATAGTCCACCTTGCAACTCTCTGCAGGGACTCCATCCTGGAGATACTAGGCATGGGAATCCTGGACTGCTTGAACTGGAAAGATGGCTACACCTACTAAAACTGTCCTGTCCCCTGCTCCCCTTGATTGCAGCAGTCTGAGGCTATAATGGGAGTCACAGGCCTAGTTACCTCTGAATCATTTTCCTATTGTCCCCCAAAATAGCTCCTGGATGGCAGAGCCCTACTATTATGTCCTTGTAACAGTTATTTGATTACACCACTCATAGTCTCTTTTTTGTTGTTTTGTGTGCTTGTTGTTAGAACACAAATAAGCTAGGGGTTTTTTCTCAATTCTTATTTAGATTCTAGTCCTATCTTTAGCTCATCCCTCTCTCTTTATGTACTGCTAAAAGCAGTTAGGAAAAGTCAAGCTACTCCTTCAACAAATGACTTAGAAAATTCCTTGGCTAAATATGTAGACTCATCACTTGCAAGTTCAACCTCCCACAAAACGCTAGCATTCAACACAGAGTTCAGCGAGTCTCTGCCACTTTATAACAAGAGTCACCCATCCTCTAACGTGCTCATGCTCACCTGAGACTTGTCAGCATGACCTTTACCCTTCATTAACACTCCACTCAGAACTATCAATATGTTATCTAATAAGAATGTGGGCTTCTCTTCAGCTTTTCTGTTTGTTCTCTCTCTCTCTCTCTCTCTCTCTCTCTCTCTCTCTCTCTCTCACCACACACACACACACACACACACAATGGATCATCTTTATGGGTCCACTCTCAGCAAACATTTTAAACTCCCCCTGGCCTGTCTTTGCTCCCCTTTCCCATTTTTAAGTATGTGTTACAGCAGCAGCCCACTCTTGGTTCCAATTTTTGTGTCAGCCCATTAGGGAAAAAAAACCCACCATAAATGGTGTGACTTATAAATACCATATATTTACTTTTCACGGTTCAGGAGACTGGGAGGTGTGAGAGCAAAGCGCCCATGGATTCACTGTATGATTGAGAGTCCTCTTAATGGTTCATTGATGGCCAGCTTCTTGCTGTATCCCTCCATGGGGGAAGGGTGAGGGGGCTCTCTGAGTCTTTTCTAAGAACACTAATTCCATTTATGAGCCAATCACCTCCAAGGGCCCCGCACCCAGACACATCACATTGGCAGTGAGAATTTCAACATGTGAATCTAAGGAAGGAGGCAAACCATCACTGACAACCCAGCTTGAGTCTTTTGAAAATGCCTTACATCTTTCCTTGAGCCTTAGTTTAGATACTAAATGAGGAACATGAAGTAGAAGACAAAGTAGTACCTACAGAGGCATTCCAAGATTTCTGTCATACCCCAGACTGCCCCTTTCCCAATCCTGCCATCACCAAGGAATCTGGTGAGGTGATCATGGGCTCACTGTTTTCATCAGAAAGTGGTGGCAGTGGCGGTAAGTGTGCATCCCTGAGACAGTTGTTAAAAATGTTGAGTCACTCTGCACACCAAGTCTCTGGGCATGGTCTTTGACGAGGACACGGCTACCACCAGCCATCTGCAGAACCTCGAATCGTTGCCTGGTAAAAAAGAAAATTATATCTCTGTCCCAGGTCAGAACATGACCCTGGAAGGAGAGTATTCCTATAGCTCTCAGGGACTTAAATTTGCTTAGAGTCTCAACTCTCTACAAACAGTACTTTCGATCCCTTGGAAAGTTACCAACTTCGATTAATTGTGTGGTTTGTTTCCAAGAGAACCTAGGATTCGATTCGTTGTCTTGTCTTATTGTAAAAAGCCCAGCCTGATACTTTACAAGAGATCATTTGTGGAGGAATTTCCCATGGCCTAAGCTAATATATTTAGCCTTCTATCATGACTCTACTGAGCTTTGCCTGGAAATGCAAACTCATGCTGGGAGAGCTTCCCATATCCCCACTTTGCCCTAGAAATAGAAGACACTGGTTTGGAAGGCTAACATCTAGACCATATATCCAGTACCATAGCCACTAGCTACAGGTAACTATTTAAGTTTAAACTTTAATTATTTAATTTTTCTCAATTTGACTTCAGGTCGTCTGCCATACTGGGGCTTTGCTGGCCCTTAGTGCATGTGCAGATGGTGGCTCTAAGCCTGCAAAGCACAAATATAAAATGGCTCTTCCTGCTCAAGCTGTGAATTACTTGCTCTGGAAGCGCATCTATGAGCCAGTTCTCTACTAAGAGAAAGTGGAAACCATGTCAGCTCTATAATAAGAAAAATCCTGTGGTCTTATATACTGACCATTAGGGATTATCAAGAGCCTATCTGTCTTTACAAGGAAAAAACTCTGTCCACACCACTGGTTCCCAGGTGTTGCTGTGACTAAGTCTCTAGGGTCCCTTGTGAAACTGGAGCTTCTGGTTCAGCAGCTCAGGATGTGGCCTGTGACTCTGCTTGGTCTGCAGAACACACCCTAAGCTGGAATGGGGGGTGGGGAGAGAGAGGAGGCGCCAGTGTGTGACTTGTGAAGTAGGAGCTATGGTCTCAGGAAGAGTCAGCCAGGGGACCTCATGAGAGAATCTGAAGGAGTTACTGTACTGGTTGAGTTACCAGAGGAATATGACCAATGCCATTCTTCCATGTGGGTGTGAGATTGCAGAGCAGGGACCAGCTCAAAGTCGAAGGCTGCACTCTGGCTCCACACAACTAGATTGGATTCTTGACTCCATCACTTCCCAGCTAGGAGGCCTGAGACAACTGATAACCAGACCTTGGTCTCCCTATCTGGGAAATGGAAGCAGTCCTAGCATACTTCACAGAGCAGCTGGAAGGACTCAGTCATTGGCAGGTGGATGTAAAGTCTTAGAACACTGTGTAGTGGCCAAAGCAATGAGCAAAGGCAATATGTTGTTTCCGAGCAAATGAATGGGATTTATTCTAGTTGAATCCATGCATTTATATAACTAGTGTATCACTCAAGTCTAATCGAACGCTTCTCTCTCCTTTGTATATTGAAGAAGAAACAGAAGATGGGGAGCCACTTTCTTAGACAAAGGGATGGATTCGTGAGGTATCCTGGGTAATAATTAAAGCACAAAAAGGATAGAGTCAAAAGTTGGATCTGTGACTGATGGGAGTGGTCCAGAAAGGCCCCATCAGTGGTGGGGATAGGCTTCCTTCCAGTAGACAACAGTCACTTGCTGGGCACTTTGGTGACCCTCACAAAACATGACCTCCTTACCTGCCCCTTTTCAGAAACTGTTCAACATCTGTTGCCATTAGTATGTAAAAGTGCACACATGAAATTTGTGTGGAGTTTGTGGTATCTGTCACCTTACACCTGAGATAATTCTCCTTGATGTGTAATGGCAAGACGATTCTTCAGGGAGAATATGATGGCAGCTTTTGTTTGATACTGATCATTTTCCTAACCTTCTCTTCTAACCCCAAAGCAAAGAGCCCAGCCAACAGCGAGTAAAACGGTGGGGATTCTCTTTTGATGAGATACTGAAAGATCAGGTGGGGCGAGACCAGTTCCTTCGATTCCTGGAGTCGGAATTCAGTTCAGAAAATCTCAGGTAACTCAAACATTTGAATTGTATACGTGTGTGTGTGTGTGTGTGTGTGTGTGTGTATAAATTTGCATAATTAGTCTTTCCACCCCCCTTTCTCAATAAAACATCACTCAGGATTCAAATCCAAATACCAGTTTATCTAGCTAAGTTTGGGATGGAGGCTTTTAATGGGGATAAATAGTTAAATGGATTTGATAACACCATCATCAAGTAAAACTATGGAAGTGTGTTGTTTTAGAGTGAGGGGCAGCTCAGAGTACCCCATCTCAAAAATGTGTTAGCCCTAGAGATTCTTGACCCCTTCAAGGTTAAACAGAAAGGGGGACAATGATGGGCTCAGTTCAGAATTTTAGCAAGCCAAGTCCTTGTTGTACAAGCTAATAAAAAAGTAAATGCTTTCCTCTTGAGAAGAATTTTGTCACTTCCATGAGGTGACTCCCCAGGTCAGCTGATACCACTGAAAATACCTGATTGTTTCTGTAGACTCAAAACTAATGTCTTAAGAGGGTAATATACAAATAATTACTATTTAGTAGGAGAAAAATGAAAACATCTGAAAAAAGAGATCTGATGTGAAAGAGAGGGATAAGTGAAAAGCAAAGAAGTTCTTGGTCACAGAAAATGAGAAGCTTGGGGTTCTTCAGCCTTCTGTTGTGTCAGATAAGGAACCAGGTGACTCACTGGAATGTGATTAGCAATGTCACTAGGTGAGACCCCTCAGTGATTGTCTTAGTTTCGGTCCTTACAAAACCGGAACTGACAGGAGGCATTAAAGGAGATTGTAGCCTGGGTTATCTAACAGTGGCTCTCACACACTGGAGAGGCTGAGAATCCAGTAGTTATTCAGTCCCAGTTTGGCACTGAAGGCCTGGAGGATTCCTGGAGAGCTGCTGGTCTTCCATCTACATTAGAATCCTAGAGAAATTAACTTTCATATGGATGAAGGAATACCATAGCATCAGAATACATAGGCTTGTCAACAAGATTGAGGGCAAGCATGCAAAAATCAAAATTTCCCTTTGTCCCTTTATCTGGGCTGGCACCAAAAGGTGCCATTCGAATTTAGGGTGTGTCTTCCCCACTGCAAATGTTTTGAACAAGAAAATCCCTCATAGGAGTGCCTAGTGGCTTTTCTTTTGATTCCATGTGCAATCAGGTTGACAACCAAGATTAGCCATCACAGTGATCTACCAACTGGTGACTTCTCCACAGCTGAGAACTACCGCCACCACAAACCCCTGTTTACAGCAGGTTCTCTTTCATATACTAAGTTAGTTTCTGCATTCAAATGCTACTTTTTGGAATAGACTTTTATTACTTTTTCTTATTTTTAAGATTAAAAAACACCAGAGCAAGTGGCATTGGGAAAGGACTGAATTCTCTTATGTTAATGGGTAAAGCCCATGTCATCAATCAGGTGATATCTATGGCAAATCTATACTACAGCAAGCCTCACCAGAGTCTACTAAGGGATGCAAGACAGTCAAGATATGTGATTTCTCCCTAGAAACAACCTTGTAGGTCCTTGAAGAAAATGCATAAGAAACAATTAAGCTATTAATTAGACATAAGTAAGTATAGCCTCTAAAGGCATTTTGGAAATATTTAAAGGAGGAAGGAATGGAAGTCAGACAAAGTAGGCAAATCATAAGCTTGACTTCAAAAAATTCACAAGAGATCACTGTTCCAAGTTAAAGGGAATATAGTCTAAGCTGAGGCACTGAATTAGCCATGGGGTTGGTGTTAGGCAGAATTTTTTTATGTTGGTGTTTTATGGCCCCTAATTACAGAGATTTCAGTGGACGGTGATGGAGAGTATGAGACCAAGCAGACACATGGGTGGCCAGGAAGTAGAGAGAGAACCTGCACTGTGGACATTCTCCTCTGCCCGCTTTCATTACATCCATGTCCCCAGCCTATGGAGGGTGATGCTGCCCACATCCAGGCTGTAGCTTCCCGGAGTTAATCCTCTCTGGAAATGAATTGACTGACACTCCCCGATCTTTACCAATATCCTAGACTATTCTCAAGCCAATCAAGTAGAAAATCATAAATCAAGATTAACTCTCACCAAGTGATGGTATGACTGTCCCAGGCCATACAGTCCTGGGATGATGTAGGTACCAATGCTATGTCCTTTCTGATCAGACCCCTGCCTACTGAGAGCCAAACAGGATGATCTCACTTTCAGGTTATAGCCCAGTAGTTCTTTCATCATTTTGTTTTTTAGAGTAGCTCAGCTCAGGGGTTTGCTTTGATTCTTGACCAGGCATTTGTATCAGAAGCCATGACTTCTAGTTCTCTTCATTAGGGTAACATAGAGGCCAGCCTCCCCACTCTATGTAAGAAGCATCTGTACATTCCCAGCTGGTCTCTCTGTGTCATCACCCCAGACTCCATGTCCAGCTGGGTCTCCATAGGTCTTTCTTACCTCTCCAATCCCTGTCACTTTTGGGAACCAAGATGGAATGATACAGACTGTGTCCTTTGCTGGTTCCTCAGCCCACGAGTAGAAGACTTAAGAGCCCTTGGCCACCTGAAATATTAAAGACAGTAAAAAGAGTGACCATAGGCCTGTTTCACTGTGAAGGCCCCAGGGGAATCTACCTGCTTAGCTGCTCCTTGCCCAGTCTGTGGGCTTTACTGTCAAAAGCCGCAGTGTAGCCAAGGGCCGCTTTTGCAATCAAACTAGTTTCAGGAAATATGCATGGAGTCCCAAGTGCACTGAGAAGTGCGTCCCTGGCAGGTGTTCCCTCCCTTCTGCTATTTCCATTTGTGCCTCTGCCAGCAGCTTGCCTGGTGCCAGGAGGGCTACATTTAATCTTGGGTGAAAGAATGTGCATGCACATGTGTGAATTCACCAGCCCCCAGCATGCATGCATAAATCCAGACTTAAAGAAGGTCCCCTCTGATCCATGACAGGAAGGAAGATAAAGAAAATAGAGCAGCAGAGGGAAAATGTACAGCCCAGGAGCTTCTGAAATCCCCTCCGGAGGCCCCGGTTCCATGTTGATGATATTCAGCATAATTGGATACAGGGAGGAAAGTTCAGTTTTAAGTCACACGCCTGGAAGACCCTTCGGTCCCTTATCACAAAACAGCTGCTTTCATTCCCCCTGTTCATTCCTTCAGCCACAGACCGTGGCTAAGCCCTCCCAGGACCCAGGTCCCAAAGGCTCAGGGTTAATCTGACTCTGCCCTTTGTCCACAGTAGCCATGCATGGCTGGCCAGGTGCTCCTCTGTCCCTGTGCACCGTGGCTCCTGGGAACTGGGGGAATGTACAGCATGAAGCTCTTAGTCGTCTGTTGCATTGGTCCTCACTGGCTTGTCCCTTCTCCCCAGCACCGGTCATGAGCCCAGGCTACTGGAATCTAAGCAGAAGATGAGAAGGGAAAGACTGGGTATATTACAAAGCACTGTTCTGCTTCTGTCTTCTGGGATCTCTCAAGTCTCTCTCTAGTAGAAGGAACGCTTCATTCCGCCTAACCAGGCATACATAGCACATGGAATGCCAGCAAAGTAGCCGATTGGTAGAACTTATACCAAAGCTTCAGAATCAGGAAGGGAATGTCCCAAAGTGCTACCTAGCCCTTTCAAGGAAAGTGTCCTGTGGTGACTTAGTATCACAGTGAGGCCTCAGCATGTATGTGGGGGGAGGGCAGAGAGGGTTACATGTTCACACAGATGTGTGAATACATGCATGTGTATGAACATGGGTGAGTAAAACAAGTGTGCAGAAGCCAGAGGTAGGCATCAAATATCTTTCTTTGGCCACCCTCCACATTTTTTTTCCAAGACAGGGCTTCTCTGTGTAGCTTTGGAGCCTTGGAGCCTATCTTAGAACTCACTTTGTAGACCAGGCTGGCCTCAAACCCACAGAGGTCCGCCTGCCTCTGCCTCCCGAGTGTTGGGATTAAAGGTGTGTGCCTTATTTTTTTGAACATGTAGCTCATTGATTTGGTAGACTGGCCTGCCAGAAAACTCCAGGATCCTCCCATCTCTGCACCCCCAGCATTCGGGTTACATGTGTAAAGACTGTCACACCTGGCTTTTCACGGGTGCTGGGGATCTGAACTCAGGTCCCCACACTTATGTTACAAGCACTATACTCAGCCCCACCCCTGCTCATTTTCCCCTGGGTGGAAGGAAGTCTGTGAGATGACTGAGGGTTGTCATCTCTGGGGACAGGAGAGGAGGGCAGGTCCAACAAGACATGCTTTGTTGTCACCATCTCCAACAGAGGCCGCTTGCTCTTGTTCTCAACACCCAAGCCAAGCCCAAAGCTGAGCTGCCTAAAGAGTATGCAGTACTGGGCCAGCAGCCTGGAAGCTTCACAGTCCCAAATCAAGCACTACAGAGCTGCCTTTATCCTTTCTCCTATTTGGGGAATTTCCCCCAAATGGAGACAGTGACATTTGCCGCTGCTCCTGCTCCATCTTCCTGTATAAACCTTTGTCCTCCCTGGCTCAACACCCTCTACCATACTGCAGGGCATGAGTTAAAAATCAAAACCTGCAACAAAGAACGTCCCCCCCTACATTTTTTATGAGCTGTAACATCTCCTGAGAGAGTAGAGTTCTTCTAACCTGCAGATTGATGACCCTGCTTCCACGGGGTGTCAGCTGAAGGCAGAAGCAATTAAAAGCAAGTGCAGGGGGCTGCCAGGTTTTGCCTCAAGAGTTCTAGCTCTGGTTTTAGCTTCAGTAGTTGCCCCAAGCCCTAGGAACACCCCAGAAGTTTCCTTAGGCCCAGTGGGGTCCCAGAATAACCAAACATATGCCAAATCAGAACCGAGTGATTCCACGAGGCTGTGGCCATCTGCAGCAGTTTGGCTCCTGTCCAGTGCAGAGCTTAGCTTGGGGGATGCTGATGCTAGCTGCTCATGGGGGTACCTGAGAGTCAAAGTCAGCTCAGACAGAGACAAAAGTCTGGTTTTGTCCATTGTTCTGAGTCACCCAATGACCAGCAGAGGGCACAGCGACACTTCCTTCTGAGGAGGAGTTCCCTTTTCTCTGGGAACCAGCCCAGGGCTGTATTTTGTAGCCTGGGAACATCCTGGTTTGTGAAAAGATGGGCAAGCCCGTGAGGGCAGAACTGTGAGGACCTCCTGATGGGATGGAAAATGGTCGATGGCTCACAGCTTCTCCTGCTCTAGCCAGTCTGGAGGAGAAAATCCCATTGCTTGTTAGCATCCAGGGGAAAAGGCGGCAAGTCATCCCTGGACCACCTTCTGATCCTGTGGGCTAGTTTCCTCCTTTGCATTCATTTCTAAGCCATTAGTGCAGCTCAAATGCCAGCACACAGCTGCTTCTCAGTGCTCTGACAATTGGCAACGACTAGGGGAGAGGCAGGCCAGGTGGTCTCTGAACACCCTGGAGCCCCTGTGCCCTGCCAGTCCCCAAGGCTCCCTGCTTCCAGACAAGGGCTTAGTGCAGGATGGTTGCCTTTGATGCAGCTGCTGGCATTTGATACCTAACCGCTTCCTCAAAAGAACCATACCTGCAGGCTTTTGATAAGAGCAGGGCCATTTCTCTGTCCTCAGTGGGCCACCCAACCACAAGAGACTATGTAGAGAGCTTTTTGTGGCTCTTTTGGTGATGGGGCGGGGGTCCTGAGCTCAGACCATTGGAGACGGAAGACAGCATGCACAAACAGGCTGTTCTGAATTTCAAATCGCCACAAAGGTTCCTCCAAGCCAAGATGGTAAATACACCTGAGATGTCAGGATGCTGTTGTGACAGGAGGGATAAGGTAGATCATCTCCAAGGCAGACAGAAGGCCGGGCTGAGTCCTGTGTACACAGAAAGAGAAAGCTGTCCAGGGAATGTCACTCTTACACACTATGTGCCCTCCCCTCCGCCCCCCTCTCTCTTCTCTCCTCCCCTCTCACTTCCCCTTCTCCCTCTGGCATGACATGACTGCTGTTTTTCCTTGTGCCTTTAAAACCATTCTCAGCTCTAATCAATGGAGGAAATCTTTTGTTTTTGTTTGTTTGTTTTCGATGTAAAACTGTAACCAGTTTGATTCTGAAATTTTCGTTGATACCCACTCTGCTCCTGGGGACTCAGATTAGGGATGTGCAGTACAGTGTCCCTTATATCACTCTGCAAAAGGGACTCCGAAGCTTCCTGGAACCACAGGGAGCCTGCAGAACTTGGAAGAAGCTTCAGAAGTGTCCTGGGGCCTTCCCACACCTTTCTCCATGGCTTCCCATACAACAGACTAGTCTAGCAAGGGACAGGGACAGCAGAAGGCAACTTCTCGGGACACATTGATGAAGAGGTGAAAACAAAAATCACCTGAGTACCATCTAAGTACCATCTGTGTGTATGAGTTGTCACAGAGGCCTTACAAGTGCAGGAGATTGCTGACCCAAAAGGCTGTCTGAAATCAGAGCCTCAGCCCAGGGGTCCCTTCCCACCTCAGCATCTGCCCATACCAATGGTACCATAAAGCTCTTCGGACTTTCCCTGGAGGCCAGAATGACATGAGCACCAAGAAAGGCAGATGTTGAAAAGCTGGAAATGATACAGACATCAGCAAGAAGCCTGGCAGTGTCTTCCCCCACCTCCACTAGAGAAAGAGCTCACACTGGGAGCTGCTGACTGACCTGCCACTTAGCTGTTCCTTGGCCCATAACCAGAAGCCTGGAAGCATTCCAGAGTTAACTCTGGCTGGGAAATCGTTCAGAAATTTGCTGTATCTCCCTTCACCCACTTTGTACCCATTTGCCAGGTAATAAAAGACTACCTGGGAAGGTACAATTCTAGACTGAGAACAGAACCAAATCCCCAGTTCTCCAGATGGAGGCATGTTCTCATCTTCTCTTCAGATTCAGGGAGGCCGGGCCTTGGTGGTACACACCTTTAATCCCAGCACTCAGGAGG